CTCCTTGCCGCTTAGCTTCCGGTGGTGGCCATCAATCTTTGGCATTTCTCGGCTTGCGGCTGCATCACTCCAATCTCCACCTTCGTTGTCACATGACCCCTTCTCCCTATGTATCTCTGTTTTGTCCTCTTCTTAGGGGAGACACTAGCCATGTTGGATGAAGGGCCCACCACACTATAGTGTGACCTCACCCTAATTATGTTTGCAGCACCTCTATTTCCAAATAAGGTCACATTCGGAGGTACTGGGAGTTAGGCCTTCAGTATGTCTTTCTGAGGGACACAATTCAACCCATAACAGTGATCCAGGCTACTTTAACCGGCCCTGCCCTCCAACAGCACTAGACGGGAAGCACCGGAGGAAGCATCTTCTCTCGTCTCTGGATGAAACAGAACGAAGGTAACCTTTGCCTCCGTGCCAACGTCTGGCCTTCACCTCCTGGCCTGGGACGGTGCCAGTCGCTACCTTGCACTGGACTATTTACTAGTTCTTAGGCTTCCCGTCGTTCTCTCCAGCAGCCCCAGCCCCGCTGCCTACCTGAGGGACCACTGAGCCCATCTAAAAGGCTGCACTGGGGCCACTCTTTTTGACCCCTCCATCCCACACTGCACATCTATCACCCTTAAAGTACTATTTTAATTTACTTGACAGCTTAGCCTAAAGAGTGTGATTTCAGGGACCACAGGCTTTGTGTGGTCCACCTGTGACCTCCATCCAGAGCCTCTACGGTTACTTATTGAGGCCTAAAATTATTTTATAATAATCTTTAAATAACTTTTTCCTTCAGCAAACCTTTATTGAATGTCTAACCTACGACAGATGCTGTGCAATGAGAAATTAGGGACAAAAGACCTAAAGTGGCTGATTAAAATTCAGGCGTACTAAATAAAGAGTAATATTTAAAAAGATCAGGATCTGCTCCATCTCTGCTGTTCAGACAGCAGAGAGGCACCAAATACCTGAAAAGTCAAAGAGGGAAATCCTCATCACTGTATCAGGGAACCCCAAATGAAGACCAAGAGCGTGAAAACCAGAGAAGGGCTTCCCAGTTCTGCCCAGGTCAGCGAAGCTGCGTGCAGAGATCAAGCCACATGTATTTTACAGGCACTTTTAAAATATCTTTGTTGACTGTTTATAGAGAGTATCCTCATCTTACTTTTTAAAATAGGTATTAGAAAGAAATGGTTAAAATGGAATGTTTTCTGACTATAATACACACTTAATTAGAGTCTTTAATGTGACACTTATTGCCACAGTAATATTATGTGTACGATCTAATTTTATTTCACAGTATTCTGCTAGAATTTTAATTGGCAAAGTTGGTCACATACATTTTAATATAAATATTAAATAGTGTAGACTTATAGGATTACAAGAATATCTTTAAAAGCTGGCTTGATTCATAGGAATACATTTTTTCAACAGGTTTGAAAATGTATTAGGTTGGATTAACCAATTTTCATTTTTCTAGATTTTATTTTTAACAGGAAATAATGGGCCAGCCTCTGTTTGCAGCCCATGAGCCACTTGCCAGCTGAGAGATGTACATCACAGAGACAGTGACACAGCAGGGCCACCGGCTGCTGGCTGTGCGAGGCTGGTGGTGGTGGCGTTAGTCCCGGATCTCTGCAGGCCCCCGTTTCAGCCTGATCATCTACTCGTTTAACTGATAGTTCATATAATTATTAGCAATTCAAACTAATGTTTTCAGATGCCAAAGTGATCATCAAAGTATGTACTTGTTTCTATAATTGCTTTATAAAATACGTTCATGATATCTAGGAAGACTTAATGAGATTTTTAAAATAGCTACAAATGTTGAAGTACTGGTGGTTAGTCAGGTCCTAATTGCTTTCACTAATCAGGATAAAGTGCTGTGGGTAATCTTTGTGTTTTACATCCTTCTTGAGAAGTAAAACGTTAAAAATCAGGAAATTCTAAAGTACTTATTACAGCAGCTTTAAGCTTTAATAGAGATGCTCTGTTGAAATTTAATAGAGAATGCCCTTAGTTTCAGAGGGGATCTGTTTGTTTACTAAGTTATTCATATTGTATTAACCAGGTAATATTGTACTTTATTTTGTGCATACATAATTCAATGAAGAAAATAGTCCATTGAAATTTAACATAGAAAATGAAAATGTTAATTAAAAATTTATTTATTGATTAAAAATTGTTCAAAGAAAAAAGTATCATGCCACAACGAATTGGAAATTAATGCTACGATCTTGGAGAATCAAGTTGACTGCATATACATTCATTTTTAAATGAGTGTGTATTCTCTAGAGCTTTCCTCTAGGAAGACTTTCTAGCATTAAACTTGCTACCATCTGTCCCATATCTGTTTAGTGGAATTAATGACTATCTCAGCTATAGCATTGTTCTTTTTCAGGAACCCTAATGTTTGCCTTATAAGCAGATTTCAGAATACCTCATTGTGCTATGTGCTATGCAGATGTGGATGATAGTACAAGGTGGAGCTCACAGTCATCCCCACTTTCCTATAATCCAGACCTGTGGAAATTATCCTTCCATCTGTACCTATTATACAATTTTTAGGATGTGACTATGTTTGTGATTCTGCTTATCATCTTGTACCTATTATACAATTTTTAGGATGTGACTATGTATCATCAGCCTAAAAATCCCTGTGTAGTCATGTGCCATAATGACATTTCCATCAACAATGGACCACATATACAATGGCAGCCAAAGCTGAAAAATTGTATCGCTTAGTGATGTCCTAACACCCTAGCACAAGGCATCATTCACGTGTGTGCGGTGATGCCTGCGTAAACAAGCCTACTGCACTGCCATCCATATAAAAGTACAGCACATACAATTATGTACGGTACATAACACTTGATGGTGATAAACCACCATGTCATTGGATTATGTATGTACTCTACTATGCTTTTTATCATTATTTTTGAATGTATTTTTTTGACCAAAAAAAGGTTTGCTGCAAATGGTATGACATGTAAGGCTGGCAGCAACCTCATACATCGCGTGCTCATCGCATCTCTTATTGCATTATTTTTTCTAGTGTTTGACTTAATCTCGTGCTTTGTACAGCAACATGCTGTACAGATTTATAGTCTAGGAGCAATAGGTTAGGCCAGTGGTTCCCAACTTTTCTGGTCCCAGGGACAGGTGCTTCTATGAGACTCTAATGCCT